AATAAACTGTGTAGCGTTTTTAAAATCTCATTTTCAAAACAGCATTCTAAAAATCATATATAAGGACTTTTACCGTAAGATTAATGTGATCAACTGAAAAATTATTGGGCGGGGATGAAAGCGAATGTTAAGTCATCTAGTGGTAATTTATTCATGCATTTGTATCTAAATCTGTAAGAGTGTTTGCTATGTTGAAGTAGTCGAGTATTTTGATTTCTTCGCATATTTACGATATCTCTACAGGTCTGGTAACTTAGGTCTGATATAATTTCAGCAAGGGTAGGATAAGTGTCCACTACTTCATATCCGAATTTTCTTGATTTCACCGGAATCAATTCTCAGAGAGTTTGATAACTGCCTGAAAAATCGTATCATAACAAGCCTAAAATAATTTCGTTACAAAGTTATCAAAATATCATTCTTTATGACAAATTATAGGGACAAATGAATCACACCGTTAGGAATATGAGTTAGGCTTGGTCAGGAAACAAAAGCAAACATTAGGAGCAAGGGTGAACCCAGAGGCTCAAGATGAAGATATAAACGAATATAGTCGGTGAACTAAATGCAGTTACTACATTAAACTTCACTTAAAGTAAAGAATTCCTGACTTAGATGATTCAAACTTCTTTTATGTCAGTCAGACGTAGCTCAAAGCGTTCATAAAATACTTGCTGAAAGTTCAGTTTGATTGTAAAACTGACTCTTAAAAAAACACATTGGAATTGGTACTTGCTGGTAAGCAAATGAACAGTTCATTCTGTTTCATAACAGGTTCCGATCACGTTTATTTCTAGGGAAAGGTGCAGAGAGTGAGATCTCAGGTGGGTTTCAAGAAGTCATCTAATCAGTCAAACCGGCTAAACTCAACAAGGCCGTCACCAACTAGGAATGGCTTTTGAGCTGAATGCTTTGGGAAGCTATTAGGTGATACGATAGTATCGCAAACCGATTTTCTGAATTTCCCTTCCTATTTCTTATTGTTTACGTATATATTTGGGTCCCTAACGAGAGACATAGCCTGCTGCTAGATATATAAGGTCTTTAGGTGTGTGAGCGTACAGCCTACAAGGATTGAACAGGAATGGAACGACCTCTTAAACTATGTCAAACTAACACAATCTTTTAACTAACAGGTTCAGGTCAACCCACACTGGTGACTCGGCTATTCTGATTTTCAGTACTTCCAGTGAACAAACAAATTCTTGCTATACAATTGATTTATTTGGATTAGTGAAGGATGGAGAAGTGATGCGTAAAATAACTACTGACTGCTGTTCACATGAGTTCTATGTAGTCCGTTTATAGTTCCAGTTTGGTCATTCTTAACCGGAAAGATATTCGGTGAAGTCCCACGTCCAGTGATCTGTCGTTTAATGTACAAAACGGTCCAGTTTGACGAATTATCTGGCCAGAGCATTACAAGAGAAAACCGTCTATTTTGGCAGTCGAAAATACTTCGAATTTTGTCCAAATTGTCAAGTGATGTTATTCAGTTACTGTTCATCACTTTAACGTAACACTTTTTGCACAACGCTCACGTTATCACCCATGAAAATCCAGAGTTTTGACTAACCGACCTCCGTAATAAATTCTGTCAATTATTCTGGCTAAGCTGGTTGTTTTACAGTATAGTCACCTTTAGGTGATCAAAAGCTAAGTTGTTCCCAGTGAATATTAGGTTTCTTTTTACACAAAGACCGGCTGATTTGTGGAGGAGGAGTTTTGGTCTAATGAGGAACCTCTAAGTAAAAACGTTAATTGCAAAGGCAATGGACTAATAGTGTGACAGTTACATGACCGAACACAGAGACTTCTCAGACCACCAGTCCACACGAACGCTCGTAGTCTTAGAAATAAAACGTTCGAGCTAAGTCTGATGGTGCAAGAATTATGTCCCGATATAATCGTTGTTACAGAAACTTGGTTCACCGTTGATATAGACTGTTCTCCGTTCATTGCTGGTTATATCTGTATCAGAAGTGATAGAGTTTCAAGTCGAAAAGGGGGAGGTATAATATTATACGGTAGGGATCACTTTCGTATACAATCAACCATATCGAAGGCTCATATCAGTGGCACATGTGAGGTTGCATGTTGTAAGATTAAATCTAGAAATGGGTTAGTGACTATAGGGGGAATATACCGTAGTCCGTCTTGTCTTGCTGACGGCTTTATCCTAAGACACATCTGTTCTTGGAGTATGGCAGAATGTTGTCTCATCATTGGGGACTTCAACGCACCGCATATCAACTGGATAGAGCTTACAGCTCCAGGTAGTGGTTTCGATAGCGACCTTTTATCTACCTTTATTCAGGTGGTGTTTTGTTCTCTGAGCTGGATGGTTTGGTCGTGGAGCTTTCATCGTTCTTCTGAACGACATCATCAGCACAAACTTCAGGTAGAAGTGAAGTGTTCGAATTTCTCCATGTGTGTTTCACAGCTTGTTCTGTGCACCTCGATGTTGATTGGTTCTTGTTGACCTTAAATTTATCATTGTTTACTTCTTTGTTTTGGTTGTGTTATTCAGTGTGCACTTGTACAATCTATCACAAAACCGACACGTATTGATTTGCAACATGTTCCGTCACTGCCGGACCTCGCCCTCACCCACCACTCTGAGGATGTCTTTGATATTCAGCACCTTCCTCCACTTGTGAATAGTGATCACGTTGTAATTCATTTTAAGTTTAGAACACATGGTATACAATTCGTATCTGCTCCACCCCGTCCCAATATCTGGCGAGCTAATATTCCGGAAATCAGAAACTGTGCTATCTCGGCCGATTGGTCGGTCGACGCGGATGGATTGATCGAAGATGAATGGAATACGTTTAAGGCTACATTGGAGTCCGTAACGTCGTTGTTTATCCCATGGTCAGCACGTAAGCTATCACATTGCCCTCCATGGATTAATAAGGAAACCCGGAAGCTGTTAAAGCGTAGGAAACATTTCTGGGACTTATTCTTGTTGACAGGTAATGCACCATTTAAGCGTGAGTACCAAAAATACCGTAATATCTGTAAGAAAACCATAGCAAAATCCCGTACCACTTACGAACGACAGTTAGTATATGATAGCCGTACTTGTCCGAAACGATTGTTTTCGTATGTTAAACGGCAAATGAAACGTAGTGATGGTATTCCCCCGTTGCTGTTACACGAAAATTCAGAATTACTAGCTGAATCAGATCGAGCAAAAGCTGAGACTTTTTCAGATTATTTTAGCGAAGTCTTCTCTACGTTTATTGTAACAAATACTTGTCCCACTCACACCGAGATACCAACCATTGAATCTGTACAGGTGACCGAGGAAACTGTCCTTCCGTTGATAACTAACCTCAAACCTGGTAAGATACCGGGCCCTAACGCGTTACATCCACGGTTGCTGTCATCTCTTGCGGACATTATTTCAAAACCGCTTGCGACACTCTTCAACATGTCCCTCACTCGCTCAACTCCCTAGAGATTGGAAGGACGCTATAGTTAGTCCTATATTTAAGGACGGTCAGCGACAGATAGTATCTAACTACCGGCCTGTCAGTCTAACTAGCATAGTCGTTAAGTTACTCGAAAAGATAATTCGGGTTAGGTTGCTAAGCCACATAGATTTACACATTCTGTTAGCTCCTGAGCAACACGGATTTCGTAACAAGCGTTCATGCTTGACTAACTTGCTTATTGCAAGGGAGGATTGGACAGCAGCCCTAGATCACGGTCTGTCTGTCGACGTGATATTCATAGATTTTAGCAAAGTTTTTGACAAGGTTTCACACGTAGGTCTTATGCAGAAGCTCACAAGCTTCGGAATAATAGGTACTGTACATGAGTGGATAGGAAATTTCTTATGTGACCGCAGACAGAGAGTTAGGGTCAATGGAACGCTATCCGATTGGAAGCCGGTCAAAAGTGGTGTACCCCAAGGCATCATCTTAGGTCCTCTGCTCTTCCTTCTCTACATTAATGAGTTACCACTGTTGCTTAGGTCGTCGACATTATTGTTTGCGGATGATGTAAAAATCTGGAGAACAATAAAAAGTGCGGTTGATCATCTGGATCTTCAAGCTGACGATTTAGTTAGATGGGCTCGAGGTTGGGGTTTAGAAATCAGTGTTAGGAAGAGTGTGTTCATGCACATTGGTCACGGTAACAGTTACCGTTATACTATTGAGAGTAAACCTCTTTCATGCGTTCAAGAGCATAAAGACTTAGGAGTCATGATTTAAAAACAACTGCGCATTGCAAAGCAGCCGCTGTCAAAGGTTTTCGTGCGTTATGGTCACTTCGCCGAGCGTTCAAATCTTTTGACGAGGAAACGTTTCGAATTTTATATCCCATATATGTTAGACCACATTTAGAGTACTGTATCCAAGCAGCTAGCCCGTGTCTGGTAAAGGATACTAACTCCCTTGAGCGTGTCCAGCGTGTGGGAACGAAATTAGTGAAGGGTCTTTCTAGACTCCCTTACGATGAGCGCTTAAAACGCCTAAATCTTTTCCCCTTGTCGTATCGTAGGACACGAGGTGACCTTATACTGGTATTTCGTATCTTTAATTATGATTTGGGTGTTAATATGTCTTATCTTTTTGCTCCCTCCAGCACTAATAATCTCCGAGGTCATAGCAAGAAGGTTCATAAACCACGATCTAAGAAACTTAGAGTGGGGTCCCGTTTTTCTCACCGAGTAGTCAATCATTGGAACGCCTTACCCGAACAAGTGGTATCAGCCCCATCAGTGAACACTTTCAAAGAAAAGCTGAACCTTCACTGGAAAGCAATGTGTCAGGATTAACACAGGTTCATCAACCTACTATCCTTATTACTGAAGACCGAAGACATTAGATAACTGTCGCAGTATATATGTAATATAAACGAGTTTCTTTTGATCAGTTAAAACACCAAAAGTCTCGAGGAAACTGTAAGCTAAATAGACCAGAGTACAGAATGAAATATGGCACCTATTACGGTTTACACCGATGACTTGACATTTATATTCCGCCATTAGCGCGCTGACCAGATTAGTCGCTACTATGAATGGCGGGGACATGTGATATGATACCATTTTGGTAGATGTATTGGGTTGCAAAGTAGTGAAACCCACCTTATGATTAAACTTTTAAGTTTTGTTCTGTGGCTCTTACTGTCGTCCACAGATCAAATATTTACAGAATTAATAGGTTAATCTGTCAAACTAACAGATATATCTGTTGAAATAATTTTGATAGTATACTATCAAAATTATTTCAAGCTAAACAGAGCGTGCGGTAAGTGTCAGGTTTTTCCATAAATTAATTTAAAAAATACATAGTTATGAGTTTCTTGTAAATAGTCTTTGCATTCACAGTAAGTGATTTAAACTATTATGAAATTAAAATTTCTTTCCCGTATCACTGAATAAGTGAAGAAACAATTGTCAGTTCAATGTCGTTATTCCTTAATGAGAGCACTACTGAATCCCGAATCATATATTTTGAATGTCAGATTAGCTAGTTTAATTCTACTCATCTGATTGAATAGGGTATGCCTCATATTTGACTGAACAATGTCCAGATAAGTAGAACTTAGCTTTCAGTCCTCAGTAATAAGGATGGGTCTATCGACCTATATTAAGCTTTAAAGTTTCTAACCCTGTGGAGGTCTAATTTCGTTTTGAACGTATCAACAAAAGATGCTGATATTACGTGTTCTGGTAGCGAATCTCAGTAATTCACTACTTGGTGCGAGAAACGAAACTTTAGAGGTAGACGATTTGATCTCTGTTTGTGAACTTCGAATGTCTTTTCAAACATTCAGTCCTGGTCGGGAGGAAAAGATGAGACATTAATACCAAGATCCTCGTTCAGTATACGATAAGTTAATATTAGGTCACCTTGTATTCTATTTTAAGATAACGGAAATAAGTTGAGGTATCTCAGTCTGTCTTAATAAGATAGGCCATAGAGACTCGTTCCAGCATATATACCTCATACTTGAAACAAGGACTCACTGCTTGATTCCCATATTCCAAGTACGGTCTCACGACACTTGGGTATAATAATCTAAACATTTCTTCATTCACATACTGAAAAGACCTACGAATAACCCCTAATACCCTATAGCCATCTGCACCATCAGCCTTACAGTTAATAGTAGTTTTGGGATCGCTGCTTATTATGGCTCCTAAATCTAGTTTATTACTTTGGGTAATACGAATCTACGTATTGTGTATTGATACGAATAATCACAGTTATTTAATTGCATCACCGTACTCTTGTTGCGATTCATTTCTAGTGACTATCCGTCCATCTCTGCCAGCAATGAGTTGAGATCATCTTGTAATACTCTTCTATCTGACATACTGTGTATGGCTCTTCAGATCTTAGTCATCGGCGAAGAGTAGAACGGATGGCTTTGTTACAGTTGGTAATTCATTAACATAAATTAAAGCGAGAAGGGGACCGAGGATTGTGCCCTTGGGAACTCCACTTTTTACGGGTTCCCACAATAAGAGAGCCCCATTTACCCTTACCTTCTGTCTCCTGTCATTGAGAAAGTCGCTTATCCAGTCTATGGCCTTATAATGGATTCCAGAACTTTCCAGCTTTAATTTAGGACATGGATGGGAGATCCTATCTAAGAAAACAACATCTCCATGAATATTTCGATCTTCTGCCGCAGCCCAATCTTCTCTTGCAATGAGCAGATTTTTCAAACATAACGGGCCTTCCCGAAAACCATGTTGTTCCCTAGATAAAAGATTATTCCGTTTCACATAGTTTACCACAACCATCTGAATAATCTTTTCCATTAGTTTTACAAATCCACTCATTGGACTAACGGATCGGTGGTTATCAACTAAGTTTCTACGCTCCACCTTATACACTGGACTAATTACTGCGTCGATCACTAACGTCCATCGACGTCTTGGACGATGGTCAGAATTCTTCGAAGCGCAGTTCAAGTAGTCTGCTGCTCCGGCAACATCGGTCGGACTGTCCTGCCCTCCATGGCCGGTGACGACTGATCCACCAAATGAGGCGGAAGTTCTCAAGGAACTCTTGAAGCGCTACAAATCACCGGGCCCAGATGACTTACCTCCGGTCCTTTTTAAAGATGGTAGTGACTTTCTGGCTAGGGAACTGACGACGTTGTTTACAAAGGTCTTGGAGCTAGAGAGTGTACCAACGTTATGGAATGAGTCGATAGTTGTCCCTATCTTTAGGAAGGGTTCACGTCGTTCCTGTAACAACAATCGGGGGATAAGTCTACTTCCGATTGCATCCAAGCTATTGGCTTCCTTCATACTTCGTAGGTTGGTCAAAACCCGAGAAAGATTGGCTCGCGAGGAGCAGGCTGATTTCCGTTCCGGTCGAGGATGTATTGATCACATCTTCACCCTCCACCAAATGTTAGAACACCTTCATACTTATCAAAGGCCAATAATCGTAGTGTTTCTTGACATTAGGGCTGCCTTCGATTCGTTGGACAGGACTGTTCTCTGGGATTGTCTATTGAAGAAGGGTGTGCCTGAGAAGTTTGTTAACATCCTAAAGGCCCCATATACAAACACCTCAGGCAGAGTGAGGGCATACAACCACCTCTCTCCATTGTCCCATTCAAGCAGTGGGGTTAGGCAGGGTTGCCCAATCTCACCATTCCTCATCAACTTTGCCATCGACGACATTCTGAAAACAGCTCTGATGGATGTAAGTAATGGTGGTGTGGATCTGCGGCCTAGAGAAAAACTTCTCGACCTTGAGTATGCGGACGATATTGTCTTACTGTGCGAAAATACCCAAGCCATGCAATCCGCACTTAATCAGTTGGCAATCAGTGTCCGTAAGTACGGTATGTGCTTTGCACCTTCCAAGTGCAAAGTACTTCTACAAGACTGACAGGATTCTAATCCTGTACTCACCCTGGATGGTGAGCAGATAGAAGTAGTTGAGAAGTTCGTGTATCTAGGTAGCTGCATAAGTGCTGGTGGTGGCCTGACTGATGAGATCAATGCACGTATAGTGAAAGCCAGAGCGGCTTATGTCAATCTGGGCCATCTTTGGCGTCTTCGTGATGTCAGTCTAGCTGTAAAAGGTCGGATCCACAACGCGTCGGTGAGAGCAGTTTTGCTCTATGCTTGTGAAACCTGGCCTCTCCAAGTTGAGGATGTTAGACGACTCTCTGTGTTCGATCATCGCTGTCTCCGAAGGATTGCTGACATCCAGTGTCAACACTATGTCAGTGATGCAGAGCTTCGGCATCGTGTGTTCGAGCGCAAAGACGATAACTCGATTGATGTCACTATCTTGAAACACCGACTTTGGTGGCTTGGACATGTTCTACGAATGTCGTCCCAGAGAATTCCACGTCGTGCATTATTTGCCGACTCTGGGACTGGTTGGAAAAAGTGGAGAGGTGGTCAGTGTATGACATGGTGTCGTGGTATGAAAGAAAGATGTACAAGACTGGCTACTGTTAGTCCTTCACGACTCCCTGGTTGGGGTCCTAGAGATGGTGCTACACAGTAACTTTGGCAATATATGGTCAGTATAGCGTGCATGTTCATTGCTACCCAACTTACGTACCAACAGTTGAGTCTTCCACGCGTCGTTTTGGTTACAGAATTCTGTTCTAAATGTATCTTCCCAACGTTTGAACCACATGAAAAAAGTATTTCCACTTTCGAGATCATAGATGAATTCTGGTATGCTGCTAGCAACTGCATCCCAAGACGTACTTGGGATAGCATGTGAACTCGAGCAGTGGATGTTAAGCTGTCGAGTCAGGGTCTCCAACAACCGCATTTGTGCATCAATTTATGCTTGCTGTTGTTGTAGTATCCGGTTAAGCTGGTTATCTGATATGGACATCTTGAATTTGTTTTCCTTTTTCCTCGTCGCCACTGTTAGCGGGGCATAAACTGGATTAAGTCGTGCTCAATGCACGCTTGCGTTGGGGCACGCTGATTGGCAAGTTATTATACAAACAGCGTTAGTCAATACTTAGTGAACACTAGAAATCTCATGTGAAAAACTATAAATATACTAACGTTTTCCCTACTGCACTTACTTGCTTCTTACTTTCGTCTAACCTTGTTATTTGGAATATAATCTCTTTCCTGTCCAACCGTGTTCTGATTTGGGGACTTGTCGAGTGATTTGGTGTCCAAGAATACTAAGCAATAGGAATAGCTGGGTTATAACCGTAAGAGAGAATTAAAAAAACACCATCAAACTAATTAGTTTCAGTCTTTAAGAACAAAATAACTTCGGAAATTTCTTACCGTCGAGGGCGGTGTAAGTGCTGAAACCAATTTAATTTACCGTTCATGGGTGATTTGTAATATAAACTGTCCATTTCTTGTATAATTTCAGTTCACTTGCTGTGCGCTGTAGCTGCTTACATTGTCTATTCATATTTTTCCATATTTCAGGCTCTCGTATTAGATGTCTTCGAAGCTGGTACTTGGAGGGAACAAGTTCGGATTGCAAGACTATTTTAATTTGCTATTTTCATTGATTTAAAACTTTGGTTTGTTAATGTTGACGAATCGTCTGTGCTTCGCTGCTATCGGAGTTATTCCGTTAATTTTAGTCACATTTTTCCTTGTCTTCGATGTGTGCGGTGAACACTGTCACAATGACGGTAATTTGAGTATCTTCGTTAATTTAAGTAATAGTCTTTTTGCAGGCTAAACTTGGTAAACTCTCTTATGCTAGATGGGTGAATACGTCAATTACTTTAATCTGCTCTGGAAAAGAATTTGTAAATTTCTCCATGTATGTATTATTTTTGTTTCAGACAAGCGTTATGTGGTATTCTGTGCGGAAGGTTTACAAAATGGCTATTGGATGTCTTAAAAACGAACATAGGCAGTTACATTTAGATTGGTTTCCTAATGTTCCTGAAATAATGTAAGAATACTTTGATCCATTTTATGCTCCCCAGTGCAACTTACGTATCATATGAAAAACAAATTCGTCAAGTGTGTATATTTTCGTTATCAAACGGAATTCTAACTTCCAGGGTTTTAGTAGAAGAACTCAATGGTATTTATCTGTTTGTTATTATGTAGCTTTAGATCAATCAGTTGATATGGCGCTAACTACGACAGTATATTTTCTACCAAATTCAATAATTACTAATGTATTTTTTATCTGCAAACAGGTTAGTTTATTTTAGCATCGAATTACTCTTCCCAACTACCTTGACCCATCCTAAATAATAAGTCCTGTGTACGGCTGTTTCGACTAGTTCCACAAGAGCATTTTAACTCACATCCAGATATTATCAGTTTAGTTAATCTATCTCATACTGATTGCGTCAGCATTGATTTGGTCGAGAGTTAGCTTGAACACTCTCATTTGTTTCCTTTGGGTCTCCTTGGGATATCGCTGGGTATATTTTTTCCGACTTCTTACGTTGGATGAAAGGCTTCCCCACCTGTAGTGTCACCTATTCCCTCTAAGTTTGAACAGTTACAAATTGTCAAGGTAGTATTGTAGTGAACGAGAATACCAGTGGGGACAACCAAACGTATTTAAACACAAAATTACAGAATATCCCAGTAAGATCTGAGAACTATACAGTAAATACTTCATTTGCCAAATGTCAATCAACTGACTCAGACTTGATTTTTCCTTCGTTTCCACACCAATGACTCTGTTATCGTTCTCTTCTCTTCGTCTTTTTCAACCTGCCGCCAGACATTCCACTTCTGATTGGTGATACATACTTATACACAAATAAAATGAAATGACGATAATTACCGATAATTACTTGTCGGCATCAGTAGCACACCCCACACTACTACGTTGCGGCATCTAATTCATTTTTGTTGTGTTTCTTTATATCAGTAAAAATGAGTCCAATTGTGCAGGCAATATATATATATATATATATATATATATATATATATATATATATATATATATATATAGGTTCTCATCTTCGCATACGGTTAAGCGCGTTGATACTTGTTGCTATTTAAATGTTTTACAGGAAAGATAGCATCCTGATTTTACAGAGTATTGCATTTTATAGGGTGAAGTGCGAAACGGAACTTGTCATAGTCGATTGGGTAACGGCACATTTTATAATGGTGAAAAAAACATATATAAAAACAACGAATTTTATAAAATAACCGATAAAGTTGTTCCTACACATATGGGAAAACACGAGTAAGTAATTTACTATTTCTATAGTTTACAACACTGGTTTTCAGTTATTTATTAATTATTATTGTAGAGTGAGTCATTCTCATCATCTTAGTTATATATAATTGTACTACAGAAGTGTTTCATGAAAATCCTATTATTAAGAACTTGTTATTTAATTTGATTTTCGTTTGGAGCCCTTTTAATCATTTCTAATACATCTGGTTCAGGGAGATAACCGACACACTCTGATTTGATCCACAGATGGTCTTTATCTTTTCTACACGTCGATGTTTCCAGTTCGTGAAGATATCACCCCTGGTTACATTTCCAATAGCACTTCCACACTGAGACGTGCAATAACACTGCACTAAGTTCTTATTCATGTATGTAGTTTGGCGAAGGTGAGATATCCGTCTATCAATTAGGGGACGAGTATACTGCGCGTCAGTTCGTTCTGTTCTATTTTACGGCTGCGAAACGTGGCCATTAAGAGTAGAAGATACTCGTAAGCTACTAGTATTTGACCACAGATGCCTTATAAATATTTCTCACATCTTTACGGTTATGGGATCATCGGGTAAGTAACAGTGAGGTTAGACTCAGGGTATTAGGGAATGATGGTAAATCTTCACCAACTGCGATGGTTGGGTCACCGATAATCACGGCGCGCAATACTGACTAGTGTTGGGGATGGTTTTAAGAAAATTAGGGGCGGCCAAACCAAAACGTGGCATCAGTACTTTAAGTTACTAGCTTCTAGTCTTAGCCATAGTGGTAGATGCAGACTACTTGGTTGAAGTTCGTGTGACTATCGTAACGAATGATTGGAGACTCTGGGTGACATGACTCAGAATCGATCACAGTGACGTAGAAGTGTACACTCTCTGTCTTCCCTTAAACTATGAGATTACGATCGCTTTATATCTTCCTTTATACTACCTAATTCTTTCTTTATGTATTATATCCTTATATGCAATCTTTATTTTATGTATCACCACCATTGAATTAACTACTTCTGTGAATTCGGTGTTCATCTCGTTGTGCTAATGAGGTGTGGCAACTTGAACCGATGCATGTGTGTGTCTGATTCTACGTTGTAGCTGACTGACTGACTTTGGTTATCACAATTGTCTGTTTTATCGACTTTAATGCGTGTGACGGGTTTAGCCAGATTCGTCTGCATTATTCTAGGAGGTTATGTTATTTAAATACATTCTTAGGAGATGTTGTATGTTCAAATGACGAAACAAACTTTGTGATGAGTTTCTCTTATTTTATCAGCGTCTTTTATTGTGATACGAAAAAAGTTCACTAAACAGCATATATTGTGGATTTGTACACCTAGATGTTTTGTGGTCAAGGTATTTTATTGAACTCAGTTATTTGGAATATTTGCTCCTATTATTTAATTCACTTTGCAACACCGGAAATGTTGGTTCATCACTGAGCTCCTTGGGATTGGCAAAATTCATTGGCTTGCTAGGAGCTCGGGTATTGTTTGATTAACTATACTCCTGGTTCTAAATGTTAAGAATTTCACTTTTTCAATTCGAATGATAATGTAAACCACTATATTTTTTAAGTTTTCCATGGTTTAACGAGTACAGTAGTGTCAGACTTTACACTGCTCCATCCAGTTGGCGCGGATGGTTTATTTAAAAATACTTGACTGCCAAATAATAATTAGTCTTCTAGTACCCTTCAACACTCTGCCACTTTGGTTCATGTACCTAGATAGGAAAAACAGTCTAGGTTCCGTTAGCATCTTAGGTACATTGAATGACTCCTCAACCTTTTCTGAATCCGTAAACGCTACCACATTTGTTGCTAGCTAACAATATTTTTTATTTCGTAATACCAGAGCTGTTTAAAGTCTGTCGAACAACTGGGCACCTTAACATTTGCTGTCGTACAACCAACACTTTAGAACGTTTTGTCATACAAAGACATTTTGTGGACCGAAAACTAAAGGTCTGTTACACTGTGGTGCTTGTTTGTTAATAATTTATTCAGAAAACTAGATAACCCGTAGTGCTTTAGAGGGCAATCCACCTAAATATTTACCAGTGCATTACAATGCGAAATCCGCCCCGCCCATTTTTATTTATTTAGTTGGTTATGACCCACACAGCAACATCTGCGTATGCTAAGTAGGGTATCTTTATTAATAGGAATTGAACCCAATCACGATACCAAGAATCCATTCACTCTTCAATATCTAAATCATTCGTTTCTTATTACTCTTGTCTGCTTTCGTTTCTTAACTCATATACTTCTTGTACATTTCAACATTTTTTCCTTAGTTGTCAGAAATGTAGTATACAGAGTTCTGAGTAGACCGATTGGATGATGAACAACAAAGTAGAGGGATATTCTGCACTATGATCAAAGTAGTGAGCACATAAGTGTTTACTGACAGAAATTGGAGTGGTCAAATTCCAAGCACAGTAATGTGTGTAAGGAATTAACTCATTCTAACATCAGCATTGCATGAGTTTCGTGTGAAGTACGTTATTTTTTCCAGACAAAAAACTACTATTAAGACTAAATCACTTAAAAAAGAAAAGATCTTTTAAATTTAGTGGTGTCGTCTCTAAGATCTGGTGGGGTACCTAAATTATTTCTGCAAGAATCGTTTGTGTCAAATAAAATAAAACAAAAAAATGTACTTACCAGGACCTGACGAGGCATATATACGAATAGGAATGTCGTAAATAAAATCAACGATACCAGCAAAGAAGTCGAATAATAACCGGTTCACTTCAGGCAACAACTGACTGAGTTTATTCCTGGTGGTTATAATTGCGTTATATGGAGACATATTTTCCTCATTCTCTTTAAAAGAGAATGTTCGCTCTCGATTACTAGCGTATAAGTAATTTAAAAAGTGGTTGAAATTTTCTTTGATCGACCCATATGCAATGAATGGCAAAGATAAAAGTGAATTCCAGAAGTCCTGATGTTCGGGGATGATATTCTCGGCAAAATAAGCTAGTGAATACTTTGAATTTTTGGGAATATAGGCAATATGTTTATCCAACTCGTTAACCTGTGGTGTCTTTTCATTTTTGGCTTCAAAACGATAATCAGTTTCAGTACCGTAAAACTCTTTCGCATATGAGTCTTCGAGAGAATAGAACGGATCAGGAGAACGGATGACTTCGATACGTAAAACACCATAGTTAGGCCATGAACGTCGTAAAAAAGAATCTGATCCATTACCTTTTGACAAATAATTGGCATCCATAGTTATGGAGGTAAAAGATACACCTGAACCAGACTTTATGCTTTCAAATTCACTACGCAAATGATCCAAGCACGTTACTGGAGATTTTACAAATGTTACGTGAAGATGTATGAATACAACTAGTACGAAAACAGCCTGAAAAATAATTAAGCCAATACAATTTAAAATGTATAAAAAACGTTAGCACTTTAGTTACATTGGATATACTTATTCAATTAATTCCTAGCTAAACGAAGGGTAGGGGTGAAATGCATTGTGGACACTAAAGAAATAGACTATTTTTATTCCCATTTGGTGGAAAACAAAAAACACATCCACCTGTACCATTGCAAGCGGTTTTGAGTCATGCCATCTAAAGTATTCAACCATTGGCAACGATAATCACGCGGAACCCAACCAGGTAGTCTTTGCATCTATTGGCACATGTGTTATTTGTTCTTTATTACTTAAGTTATAGTATAATTGAGCATTATCATCATGGTGTTGCCAGTAGATGTATGTAGTCACCACATATCTGCTCTAATAAGTCAGTTTTTCATAGACATAGAGCAGAGATGCTCTCACCGACATTTTGTAAACCTGGTGTTTTACAACAAGACTGATATCATAAATGACCCAGAGATGACAAACTGTCAGTCAGTCACAATGTACAATTCGTACTTATGTACATCAGTTTAAGCTGCCATACCCCATTAGCATAGAGTGATGAAGTTGTCAAGCCAAATGTCAGAATAGTAGAGTTAGTAACAATATCAGAGGTAATAAGAGAGATTAGGCTCCTAAGTTATGACTCGAAAATGGAATATAAATTAGAAAAATAAAAACAAAAAAACGTTATGAAGAACTTAGAATCCCAGAATTTGGGGGAAAAGAAAAAACACGTGCACCTGTACCATTGCGAACGGTTTTGAGTCATGCCATCTAAAGTATTCAACCATTGGCTACGATAATCACGCGGATCCCAACCAGGTAGTCTATGCATCTATTAACATCCAATCATCGATGACTTGATGAATTGATGCCATGTTTTGATTTGGTGGAACGCACACTACAGAAATAGACGAATTTCCAGTCCCATATATTTTACTATGAAACTGCAGCGTTAACTTCTAATACTGCTGGTTACGAAATCTATTGAACAGTCAGTCAGTGACTGATTAATTAAGGATTACTAAATAACGATTTCTATCTATATAAATACTTCAACGTCCATACATATAGTTCCTTAAGGTATTTCAGAAGGATGGTCGTTTGGTATGGAAACCTATAGGAAATGAACTGATATTAATCCATAGTATAGTGACAACGCAAAGCAGATTATCAGATAAGGAAGAATTAGAAGTGACATTTTTGTAATACTGTATAGATCTGCCATTTTATTGTTCAAAACATTAGCGCCTTAAGTATAAACAGCAAGATGTAGACTAAGATGCTTATCTTCAACTTAACAAGTTATCCTAATGAGTCTTTTTTATTTATGTTTGCTTCCTAATCCCCCAGGACGTATTGCGTTTTAATTCAAATTTATAAAAACAAGTTGAAGACAAGCAAAACGAGTACATACAATTCGTACACTACTTATGTTGCCGTAATAACCGGACGAATTGTTTACAATTCTTTGTTTGCTTTCGCTAAAATATAGAAGAACATTAAAACAATGGCCCAATGTTGTGATAGACTGAAGAATCCTTCCCATAGTATAGCTGATTGTCTAAACTATTATTCGACCTAACCAATAAAATCAAATTAATCTGACTCTGCAACCTACAATGTA